GGTGTTTATCCACTGTGAACTTTGTGAACCCCCTTTCATAACCTTTAGGTCCAGAGTGTCTCCTGACCATCTCACCTCTCCAGAGGGCTGTACTACGAGGAGCCAGGGCTCTTTGCCTTAGCTGGCTCTCCGAAAACCCTGATCCGAGATAACGGGAAAGGCGTCATCGGCTTGCTTTGTTGACCCAGGCTGTCTTCTTGAGTGTGTTCCCATGAAAGCAATTTTATGACTTTACTGCACAAAATGGACCCATCGCATACTTCCGTCTATAAATATGAAGAGATTACAGCAAAAAGCAACACTGTTTCTCCAAATACGGCAAGAGAGGAATGCTGTCAGATTATTACAAACTGTAAATTCATGAGTTCATATATTTATTTTCTCTCTCCGTGCCTACTTTTTTATTTTTAACATGAGAGCTGCGTATTCTAGAGTTCTTAAACTTTAATCTTGATGCAGCAGATTTAAACATTTATTCTCAAGCATTGCATTTAGGCCCGACACCATAATGAAGGATAGGTGGAAATCACTTTAGGTTTTGGCCAAATTTAAATTAATAATATAGTGAACTGCTATGGATGCTACCTTGTGTTTTTAGTTTTTTTTTTTTGTTTTTTTTATTGAAGGCTTCAGGCCAATTTGGGCAAATGGCCAGAAAACACTACAAAGACATCAGTAGTCCAGTGAGAACAGCAACGACCTTGTGACTACAACAAAACGTTTCATCAATAACGTAACGTTAAGGCTCAATAAGTTTCCATATATAAGGTGTTCCCCCAGGTGATGATCTGTTTCTCTTAGATTGACTAGTCACGACAATGTTGCTATTCCTTAAAGCAAATTTCAAGCTGAACCTGATCCGGACCAGGTTAGGTCTGCAACATAACTTCCCATGGCGCTCTCGCCGGCTTAAAAGAGAGCCGCCTTCGTAACACGGAAATGTCAGGCTTTAGGCTCAACGTACCTTGCTAACTCACTAATCTCGTTCTGTAGTACAGCCCTCGGGTTTCATTTCGATATATGGTGGAAGAGCTTACATAAACATCCCCGGCAGGTTCCTGTGGTCAGGAGACGCATCTGCCATTTAAAGCTGTTACATCGCTTTTTGTTACAATGAACGGATAGTTTTTCATGTTGCTCCTGTGTTCTCTGTTTAAAAGAATATAATTGATGAAGTGAATGTGTATTGAGTTTACAGTGCCACTGAAGCTCCACTCAACCCAAGAGTGCCTCAGCAGTCTGAAATTGAAGGATCCACCCC